TTCAGCCAGGCTGAGGGGAAATGAAAAAAAGGTTTGGTCTGGTGTGGGCTGAAGCTGTGAAAAGGCAGAGGCAGGAGAGCCGGGGGGAGGGGTCTGTGCCAGGGAGGCTCAAGGAGAGAGCAGAGGCAGCACCTGCAGCCCGTCCCACGTGAAGTTCCTCTGGGGCCACCCGCTGCCCAACCCTTGGAGGACTCAGAGCTGTGTTTCATTAGGAATAGGTCCCCTCAGAGTCACATCCCGGGCCAGCAGGCCAGCTGGAAGGAGCCCCGGGGGCCATGCTGGACAGCAGACTGGCCCACACTGCCAGTGCACTGGGAAAGGCATGGGCAGCTGTGGGTAACACGATGGGAACAGCAGCTCTTGGACAGCAGTCCCCAACACTTGCTCCCCACAGAGACGTTTAGGCAGGGAGGCAAGGTAAGTAACACCTCTTTACTCAGCAAGGGGCTCCTCCCTCAGGACACCTTCCCCAGTGCCCCTCCAGGCTCCAAGGGCCTGGAAGGATCAGGATGCAGGCCTTTCCCAAGGAGGGCACAGAGCATGAGGAGGAGATGCCACTGGTGGTGCAGAAAGCTCCCCATCCCCCTGGGGAGAGGTGTCAGTGTGCCCTCAGGGTTGTCAGGTCCTGAGCTTTGGACTCCTTGCTTGGTTAAAGGCACTGTCCCTTGTGCAATGTAGAGGAATGCTCCTCAAAGCATCTCTCCCGGGAACCAGGAGAGCCGCCCCTGCTCCCAATGCAACAAGATCCCTGATCGCCAGCCTCTTGCCTCCCTCAGAGACAGACATGTCTGCACTGGAGGGAGCATGGCTGCCTAGCTCCTTGTCACCTCCTCCACCTCCCTATCTGTTCACTGGGACAACAGAGGATCCCTGAAGCCGCTTGAGGAGCTGGCTTTGCAGGTCTTCCTCAGTCACCTTCCACCAAAAGAAGTTCTCACCCCGAATCTTTGGGGGTTCATCCTGGATCCCTGGGCTCCGAAAAGCCACGGTCACCAGCACATTCAGACAGATGCCATCACTGTGATCTCGGCCCAGGTGCTGCAGTCCAAGCAACCCCTTGATCTCCACCACCAAGTGGTGCAGGGTCAGACACTCCTGCAGCAGCCGCAGGATGGCCATCTTCATGCCACCCCTCTGCTCCACAGGGTCGAGGCCACAGGCAGTGACAGGCAAGTGAGGCATCCCCACTGTGCCCACCAACACCCACACTGTCTGGGTGCTGGTAAAGGTGACCACGAGCCGCTGGCAGACCAGATCACAGGGTAGCTCTTGCGGCAGAATGAGAGGGTGCCTGGCTTGCTGGCGATACTGGGCGGCTAGCTCAACCAGGTGCAGGATGTCATGGGCTCGCAGCGGAGTGGGCAGGGAGCTCCGTGGGTACCAGGCAGCCTGCAGGGACTCTGCATCGGCCTCCTTGGAAGTCTTGAGAATTCCACCTGGGGGAAATGTGGGGGATGGGGCAGGGACAGGCTGTGTGGAGAGAAGTGCAGGTATGGCAGTCACCAGACATCCCTGACCCAGAAGAGAGGCCCCCAGCCCAAAGGCTGGACTCTGCCCATGCCAGGCTGTGCCAGTCATAACAGGACTGGCTGTGGAGGGGCTCACTTCACCGAGGAGCTGGGGGAAAGGTGTCAACTGGCCCTGTTCACACTGCCTCCAGGTGGGCCATACCTGTGGGGCGAGCGAGGAACACGAAGCGGACCCAGGAGGGGCCCCGCTCCTCCACGGACAGCAGTGTCTCGGGCTCACAGTGCAGCCCCGCCTCCTCCTTCACCTCCCGCTGCAGCGCCTCCACGATGGTCTCCCCCGGCTCCATTCTCCCCGCAGGCAGGTACCACGACCCCCGGCACTCCCTCTTGGCCTCCTGGATCAGTAGCACCTCATCCTGAGGGGACAGAGGATCCTCACTTCCTGCCACAGCCTTCCCTCCCCCGGGGACCAGGGGACACCTCAAACACAGTCGCCCGAGACTCCCCTCTGGGTGGACACCCTCAATCCGGCTAGCGCTCCAGGAGACCTGCCCTCGTGTAGCTGGTGGCTGCAGCCCTCTCCTCCCTGCAATTCGTCCCTCTCTGGATTTAGGAAGACTTCCATTTCAGGAAGGGCTGAGATTCCTGGAAGCTGCTTCAGGGGCTGGAGATGAGGCCCCAGAGTGAGGGTCACCATGTGTCTTGCACTGATTTGCGTCTGTACATGTCACTGTGTATCTCTCGCCTCCAACGGCGTGGTTTACAAACTGTGATGGGTCCTCACACTGGGGTCTGGCTTTGAAACACGACCCCCCACCTCCACTCTGTACAACCCTGCCCTATGGCCCTGGCCCCTTCTAGTTCATTACATCGCCTACTACAGGGATCAGCACCAAAGGCCTAAGGGTAAACACGGATTGAGCCACTGCTACCCGGGGGACCCTGGGCATTCCGCTAGACTCTGGGGAAGAGAAGGAATGAGCCCTAGTGGGATGAGACAAACAGGCCCCGGGCCTCAGTTTCCTCTAATGCATATCGGGACGAACGCAGGACACAGATGCGAGTGGGAGTGCTTTGCAAAACTGGGGAGCGCCACGCACGCGGCAGCGCTGGCTGTGGCCGTTGGGTCTTCTGTCCCCACCTGGGCTGGCTGCGCGCTCCCGAGG